GTTTTATCTTTCTTATTTTTAGTTTCGCATATTTTAATATTGCGTTTGACTCGGGTAAAAAAAATCTAATAGTTATTGAAAAGAAAAAAGATATTCTCAAATATTTTCTATATTCTTTAAATAAAATCCTCCATATTAATTACCACATATTTGTTGTTTCTATATATTAATCATTAAGAAATTTGAATAGTCTTTATTAGGAATTTTTTAAAACCCTTTTTAAATGATATCTAGGACTACCCAGCGTCAAAATCTAGTAAGATAATAAAAGATTATGAGAAGATTTGTACATAGCAATATCGTAGAGAGAATATAGGAGAAGCTTCTAGACATCTAACAGAATATCCCAATAGAAATTCAAAGGGTTTGTGTCTTTGTGTTTGAGTCATTAAATATCCGTCGTTTAGACTTGCTACTCTAGCATCATCCGAAACCCTTAAAAAACAAAAAAAAATCTCACTCTTTACCGATTGACCTTCAATGGCTGAAACTGAGAATCCAGAAAAACCAATCTTGAAGAACAAGGTTGTCTTGGCTGAGTCTGGTAAGGAATTTGTCGACGTGCTCTTTAGTTTTCTTACGCTTCCAATGGGCACCATTGTTAGATTGCTGGAGAAATATCAGCATGATCAAAAGTCTCAAGCCACTACAATAGGCTGTTTCAACAATCTCTACAAAAGTGTTGTTGATATGGGCAAGGATGATTTCTTGAGTGAAGCTTGTAAGGAGATGCTTTTGTATCCAAGAAGTGTGAACGAGAAGCAATGCAGAAATCTTAGGCTTAACATAGATGACACTGTCCTCAAGTATTATAGGTGCCAAGAAATAGTTTGGAGGTCGTCGTCGTGCCCACGGGTTTATAGTAATCTTTGTTCAACAATATGTAGTTGTGGAACACTAATGAGGAAGGAGTTTGAAGTATCTCATACGGTAGTAGGACGTGATGAAATATTTGTGAGCGACAAGACCTTGTTCACCATTACTGACCCTGAAGACCCTTAAAAGGCTTCCTAATCAAAATATATAAATAAACAAATCCAGGGGGTTAAAATGTTGATTTCTAAAAGTGTTGTTGCTAAATTGTAAAGTATAAGGAAATTGTAGGGTCTTTTAGATGGAACATCGTAAAATAATAGGTCGAAAAGTTTAAATACGATAAAGATGAGTTTCACCGAATCAGCACCATACAGTAAAACCCCCAAATTACTTCTCTGAGATTACTTTCCTGAAACAATCATTTCAAGAAATTTTGGTTACTAGCACATAAGTTAGGGTTTGGACTCTGAAGATTGTTCAAGTTCTTCTGCAATGGCTGGTACTGACAGTTCAGAGAAACAAATTTTCAAGGTGAAACTTCTTGTGGACAAGGAGAAGAACAAGGTTGTCTTGGCCAAGGCTGGTAAGGATTTTGTCAATGTACTCTTTAGTTTTCTGACCATGCCAATGGGGACCATTGTAAGATTACTAGAGAAATATCAGCAGCAGAATCAAAAGTCTCAAGCTGGTGCTACAATAGGTTGTTTCAACAATCTTTACAAAAGTGTTGTTGATATGGACAAGGATGATTTCTTGACCAAGGCTTGTAAGCAGATACTTTTGTATCCGAGGTATGCGAAAAAGAGGCAATGCAGACGGCTTAAGCTTAACATAGATGATACCGAGGACCTCAAGTTCTATAGGTGCCCGAATTTGGGAAAATCTCAGTCTTGCTCTGATGCTTATAGTAACTTTTGTTCCTTGAGATGTTCTTGTGGCGAGTTGATGGCGGAGGAGATGAAAGTAGGTGTAGGTGTTTGTGATGAAATATTTGTTAGCCAGAAGACCTCTTTCATGGTTACCGAAAATATGAAAGTGGATTTTGCTTCTATTTCTATGACCATGAAGACAATTAGAGGACTTGGTTGAAAATATGGAGGAGATGTTTGTAGATGTTGGCCACAAAGAGGTAACTATATTTTTGTTTATGGAATTGCAATATTACCTTGTTTGCTTTCTGATTTATGGAAATACAAATCTAGGTACTAGCTTTGCTGGAATGCTTATCCTCTTCGGATACTCCTTTGACTGATGTGTTCTTGAGGAAACAAAACTCATGTATCATTACAAGGACGCTTAACACGCCAAGCCTAGCTGGACAAGATAGAGATGAAACAGAATCAAATGAAGTATTGTCAATCACTGTATTTGTTTGGAAGCAAGACAAGAAGATTCTTTACATGGAAAGTGGACAAGACTTTGTGGATCTGCTTTTCATTTTCCTGGTTGTACCTTTGGAGTTAGTGTGGGAAACATCTGGAAGTAATATTGAACTTGGATGCATTGAAAACTTTTCTAAAAGCATGAAAAGCTTGTGCTCTAGCGAAGGCACAAATCCATCGTCTTTCACATGTGTTCTTCCTTGGAATTATAGGTTCCAGGCACCACTGCTTGATGTTTGTTGCAAGATTAATCTCAAGGCATGGTCAGTGAAGATAAACTCTCGTCCCTATGTTTTGAAGATGATGTCTCCAAACTATGATGGAAGTGGTGAATCAACAGTTCATTGTAGGAGTGGGCTTGTAAGGAGAGATACAACGTACATGATTTCAGATGATCTTACTATCACATCTACGAAATCGTCTTCAACATTTTGCATAATGAAGAAGTGGGGCGTAGACTTGGATGATATTGAGGTGCATGTAATCAACATTAGCAAAACAGAGGTATGTTTCTAATACAATTCTTAATATTCACCAACATACTCACCTATCTTTACTGATATATTTTTGTTTATGTTGAATCTGATATTAATACAGGCTAGTAGCTTACTGAGAGCTTCTTTAATGACATCCACCGCCTTGACCACGGCTTTAGGGAGCTTACTCCCAAAGAAGCCAAAAGAGGAGAAACTATGAGCAGTTTGATTTTCAAATCATACTTTTGCAACCTTATGTAACGCTTGGATTAGTTGTTTGGAGTTGTAGTTAGAAAATTTTACCCTGTTTTATCGATTACTCGTATGGTATTTCCAAGTTTTTGTTACAGGGTTTCAGTCTTCATATGTTTTCAATTGTTATCATTTCAGAATAATAATAGTAACACTGCAGATAATGTAAACACACGACCAGATTGGCGAATAATGCTGAGCCAGTGATGAGATGGGCTAATATGCTACATCATGATGACCCCATAGCTCATTTCCATCCAGCCAACAAACACAAAGTGTTATTATATAATACAAAAGAAATAGGTTATACGAATTTCATTCATCAAAGGATGATGTTGATGCCCACAAGAACAAGAATCAAATGATCAAATATCGCTTATGCGTCGCAGTCTTAAGGTTGTATATCTTAGAGCATATGTTGAAGATCTTGGACAATTTCTGATACGGGCGGTCTGAATCCTGGTTCCATCTATAGACAAAAAGATCATCAGAGATGTCAAAAGGGTTTTAGTTAATTAAAGAGAGAAATGAAGGTTCAGCTAATGAATGAAGTGAACTTCACCTGTAGAGAACGTGATATGATATCTGCAAAACGTGACAACGATTTCATTGGATATGCTCCGTGTAATGAGGGATCAACCATTCTTGTCAACGCATCGATGTCATGAAGTCGAGGAATCGCCCACTGAGCTAGTGTCTGATGTCCCCTCGGCCTTGTCCTGCAAAACCAGGGTTTTGTCTTGTGATTTTTGCATAAGGAACTAAGTGAAACATGTTCTCTTTTGTGTTCAGAATCTTTTGTGGGTTCTATTTGCTGTCTCTTAAGAGTATGCTAACCTGTCAAATGGTCTGCGTCCAGTAAGCAGTTCTAACATCACAACCCCAAGACTATATACATCGCTCTGACAAGTGTAGCTTCCGTACTCAACCTCGGGAGCGGCATAACCGGCCATCTAAAAATTTGTAAGCAAACATCATTTCCTTTACAGCACTCGCTTATAAGTCAGGATTTTGGATTTTCAAATCAGAGAACATAGAGAAATTTACCTGACTCGTTGGGCGTGGTGGTAACATATAAGCCAAACCGCTGTCTGCAACACGTACTGAGAGTTTTTCATCGAGAAGAACCTTGGAAGACTTGAAATTCTGGTGTACAACCGGCGGTTGGCATACCTCATGAAGAAACCTGAAACCAAACTCTAAGTTCCTCTAGATCCTCCATTTATAGATTGGCATAACGTTTTGAGGTTGTTTTACTTACTGCAATGCCTTGGAAGCTCCTAACGCAATATTTATACGCACATTCCACGTGAGCTTCTTGTGCAATTTGCGATCCAAATGCAGTGCATCTTGAAGTGATCCGTTAGGGCAGTACGCATACACAAGCATCCTTTGACCAAACTCATTACAGTAACCAAGAAACTCCAATATATTCCCACGTTTAAGTTTCAAAACATTGGAGACTAAATTGAGGAATTCACCATCACTCTGCGTTCTGTTTATGGTATTGCTCAGCTTCTTCACCGCAAGAAACTACACATGAAAGAGAGTTTGAAACATCATAAAATATTTAATAAGAGTGCACAATGGCCAAATAGTAGATAAGAGGAAAGTGTCACACCTTCCCATGAGGAAACACGGCTCTGTAAACATTACCAATCGACCCTTCCCCGATTATATGCTCTTCTGAGAAACTATTTGTGTATTGCTGAAGTGAAGCAACAGTGAAAACAGTAGCTGAAGATGAAGAATTCAAACCCGGAGGGAAATGAGCCGCTCTCTTTGAACCAGCATCATTGGACTGGAAGTTCCTTGGTGGTGGTTGTGGCTGTTTTTGCGGCATATCAACACCCTTATTATAATATGAAGCTGGAGGAATCGCTCTCCGGGCCTCTTCAGGCCGTATTGGCATAGGATACCCATATTTCCCATCTCCAGCTCCATATCCATCGAAAGGTTTAAGCATTGGCTCCCGAGAAACTGTAAAACAAAAGAAAACACCTCAGCATTTTGCATAGAGCTAATGAGGAAAAGCACAAGTTCTCATTCGAAATGTAACCTTTTCCCATAGTAGGAGTTGGTTGAGATGGAGGTTTGTTGAAGTATGGTCGTGGTAAATCTTTACGAGCGCCAGCGCCATATCGGTCAGATAGTTTGCTTCTGCAACATCTCCAAAGTGTAACACAGAAACCCGCCACAAGAACGATTATGGCCACTGACGAAACGACTAGAATGATTCTTTGCGTGGACCAGAATTTTCCTGATCCTGAACCTGAAGGAGGTGATATTTGCAAGGTAGGTTGCCCTGACACAGAGTTCCAAGGATCTCCTCCTTGATTATTAGAAGGCGGTGACCAAACCAGA